ACGGGACGTGAGGACGTGAGGAGCTCCGCAGTTTGCGAGCACATGTTGCGAAGACGTGACCGGAGAAGTGCCTCTGTGATGTTCCCGGAAGACAGAAAGTATCATTCGTAATCGTCGTGTGTGCTTTGAAAGCGAAGGGAGTCACAGGGTCCACAAGTATGCAACCACAAGCAAGGTTCACGACAGCGCTGCGTTGACTTCGGCGATCTCGTTCATGTTTGGGCCAACCCGGCGAGGCGAGAAAAAGCCGAAACGTTCGTGGTGTGTGGTCCGGTGCTTGGAGGTAGAAACCCACACTAACACGGAGCTCAAATTGGTTGTAGGGTTGAGGTTCAATGGGTTCAGTCCCGTCGTCGTCAGCTTATCCGGTCCAGCTGGTCCGGGAGGACGCAGCGAGCGTTTTTAAAAGTAAACCCCCCTTCGTTCCGTTTCAAGATGTGGAAAATTCCCGACGCATACCGTGAGTAAAAATCTGCGGGCGTTTTCAACAAAATTACGTCGTTTTCATCATCATCATTTATTAAACCTTGAAGGCCATTGCTGGCATTACACAAGGTGGTAGTAACTGCTGAAGAAACATTATATAATTGACAATGGACTTCGGATTGTTGTCCTAAATCTGCCGTTTTTATGTTTCGTGTTGTTGGACTGCATTTGCACAGCGACGTGTTTGCACAGCGACGCACACCGCTCGAGAAGATGATTCGGTCCTGCAAACGACCCGTTATACAGAATTTCAGGGAAACTGAAGTCACCACCGATATTTTCCTGTAAATCTCGAGTGAGTTTGTTGCGCTCACCATGCGGTATGAATAAATTAGGGCAATATTTCCTACCTGCCCACAGATGCATGAACTAAAACCATTTTTTACGTAGTGAACATAGTGATTTTTCTTTACTTTGGGAAGAGGCATTGGTGCATTTATTATGGTACAATCACTTGAGAGTTTAGAAATTGGGGAGAGCGAGCAAGCTTTCCCAACTTTGTCTCTGGCACTGCCCCTAGTTTCAACTTTCAATTTTAGTAGGCATACCTACTAGCAGGTACAAACTCTCTAAAGCAGGTAAAAGACCGGGGGGTCAGGACGGTACCGACTCCGTGTTTTGCGCTTTTCGCAAGGTGACTGGGTAAATGCTTTTGTGAGGTATGCGGAATGTTCAAACGATTGTGTTATGCCCGTCGTTTGCATCTCCAGCAAAACGAATAAGATGATCTACAAAGGCACAATCACAAGCCAAGATTTACGATAACAGTGCGTTTGCTTCGGTGGTCCGTGTAGTTGTACTATACCCTGCTATCTGCAACACCGTGTCATGACGAAGAGCTGGAACGGTCACGGCTTGTGCTGGGCTACCGGTTGACAGAAACCGCATCGCCCGCATCGGCACCGAGTGCACTTGGGCTCTTGATGCTCAAGCCTTTCATCCGCGGCTTGTCGCCAGCTGATCCCGCTGCTCGACGAAGAGGAAGCGGCGAGAGTGACCACCCGTTATGGAGAGGTCCCGGGTACGATACCCAAACCAGGCGGATTTTTTCGGTCACTCACCGGTCACCTAGCTGTGTTTGGAGATTTGTGTTTGTCCTTTGTCTTTCTTGTTCCCCTTCTCCAGGGATTATTTTCATCCTTCTTGTTCAGCTCGCTTGCACCTTTGCATTTAATTGCACTATAATAATAACCTTAAATTGCAAGTTTAACCCTCGTTGTTGTTAGACTGGTGGCGGTTGATAAAACCCGTTTGCTCTACTGACGTCTAACCCCTGGTTAGCTCGGTTGGTAGAGCGCTCCACCTGTAACGGACACGTACCGGGTTCGATGCCCGCACCAGGCGGATTTTTTCGGTCGCTCACCAGTCACCGAGCTGTATTTGGAGATTTGTGTTTGTCCCTTGTCGCTCTTGTTCCCCTTCTCCAGAGATTATTTTCATCCTTCTTGTCCAGCTCGCTTGCACCTTTGCATTTAGTTGCATTATAATAATAACCTTAAATTGCAAGTTGCACCCTTGATGGTGTTAGACCGGTGGCGGTTGATAGAACCCGTTTGCTACTGACGTCTCTTCCCCCCCCCCCCCCCCCCCCGACCCCCCTTTCCTGCGATGCTGCGCGTACTGCGCAAACCAGAGCCTGGCTCGAAACTTTGTCGGATTCAGGATGTTTGTATCCGAGCGCCGGCAATTCGACATGTCGTTTCCTGTGAGTTGCCAATTAATTAAGATGATAAGCAGAGGCCCCAAGCGTCAAAGCGCACCTGCACCCTCGTGACAACGCGGAGTAGAAAAAAGGAAAAGCAACGAGCCTGTTTCCATTTGACAATGGGCTTTTAAGAGTAGCGACCTTCTGTCACGAATATTTGCATTTTTTGTTGCTTTATTTTGGTTATGTCTCTGTTCAGCGCGTGTTTTTCTTTCTCACAAAAATTGGAATCCATCCCTGTCGATTTTCGCTTCCACTTATCGGATTATCTCTGGAGGTGCCCGCCTCTCTGCCGCTAGGACAAGGCCGCCGGGCAGCTCATTGCCTCCTTCCTGAAAGGGAGAAATTGTAGACATGCTTTTCTGTCAAGGCCAGTCGTCGGGAGTTTTTATTTTTATGTTTTGCTTGGGTGGCTTGGTCCGAGTAGAAAATTATTTCCCCCGACCTCGAGCTCGGAGACCCTGGTAGGTGGCGGGAGAAGGGCGGACCCCCAAGAGTAACTGTATATGCTCCGCTTGCGGAGCAGAGTACCGCAATGGTGCCATTCTGGAGCCAAGCACTGCGGGAAGCCACGGGCGGTTTCTGCAGGGGCTCGAAGGCGCAGGCGCGAGGCGACGTGTTGCGCGCGCTGCGGAAGGAAAATAGTGCGGTGTGGGGGCGACGAGATGCGCGTGCCCCGTGATCGTTTTCCCGTCGTTTCCTGTCTCACTCTCGGAAAAAGCGTACCCGTGTACGCTCCCGCGGGTCGTGCGGGTCGCGTGTGAAGTGAGGTCGTCAAGTCGCCGTTGCTGGGATGCAGATAGCGTTGTGAGCCCGCTGTCTGCCCAACTTTTGGTGGACCGTTCCCCTCGAGCAATCGAAAGCAGCAAAAAACGAAGGCCTGTTTATTTTCCTCTTGTGTTCAATCGAAGAGCAAGTGCCGCTGCTCAGCCTGTGACCTTTTTTTCAGAAGACAGTTTACTTGATATTATGTAGACAGAACAGTGCTTTACCTTCGCGCGTTTCAATTATATGCGAATCTAAGGAATGCCGAGCACCCCCCCCCCCCCCCCCCTTTCCTGTCATGCTAAAATAGTGTACGACTTTTTTTTTTTTCTTTTTTATCCGAAGTTTTTGCTATTTCACGAATTCGAGACGCCCGACTGAGAGCTTTTGGAGACCGGAATTTTCGCATGCTTTCAAGTTGGGCTAAATTTTGAATTCGCTTGAATCGCAAACATTAGGGGTTCGCGAATAATAAATGTTAGACGGTGCTCCAAAGTTTGGGAGATGCCGCAAGGTGCAAACTGCCTGATATAAAAAAAGTCCACCGACGTTCCATTTTCATTGCGGATAAATCTGAAAACGCAGTCCAATTTCTGGCAGGGACCAGAATGATGCCGAGATTGACTGTTTTCCTATTCACCAGTATATTCCGCCCTGAGAATAGGGCGATAGAGCTATGTCTACTTTCAGAGTGTGGCACCAACCTACATCTCGCTTTCTCTTCTATTTTGAACATTTTGCTCAACCTGTTAAACTGTTTTACAACCACCGACATGATCCCTTGAAGAAATTGCGAACAGGCACAGCACTAACAGTCTCTAAAACATGTTTATCCACACAACTGCCTGCAGAAATCTTTTGGGGTATTGTAAAAAAGCAGACAATGATTAAAAACGATCTCCTTCCCATACGAAAAAGCCAGACGAGGCGGCGTCTCACATCGTATCTCGCCGTTGGAATCCAGTACAAGCTCTTGCCGCTGTCTGCGCGATTCGTGCACTTGGTAACACTACAGCCTGTCATTTTCACGGGGCTCTTTCCACGCGCATGCAAAATTTAATGCGGTAAACGACGTAGCGGCTGACGAAAACGCCGTCTCCCCGCTTTCAAACGAGAGCTCCCCGACTCGCCAGGATGGCCGGATGTACCGGTCACGTATCGGTTCCGCGTATCACTCCGCGAGAGCCGCAGACGCGGGGAACGCGATCGCCGTCCGTGTCGTCTGCTTCACATACTCTGAAAACGAACGTCCCCAAACATCGCTCGCGTTATAAAAAACGGGATTGTACTGTACCCAGTTGATACACATGATGTTCAATGACTTAGGAAGCTTTCGGTTCGTTCGATTTTGGACTAGGATCGATATTTTGCGAATGCAAAGCGGGAAATATGTTCCCCCCGAAACTCGGCGCTCTGGAAGGCCGCTTTCCCGCACGAAGGTCGGCTCCAGTTCTCCGCACGTGACCACTCCTCCGCCAATACGGAGATGGCGGCGAAAGGAAAAGGAACGCGATACTCTGGCTCTGCAAGCAGAGCCTATACAGTTACTCTAGGACCCCCAGAAGGGCCGGTCAGGTCGGCTGGTCGTTCCTCCCGTCGTCTGTTCCCACGAGTCGTATGGGCTTCGGTTTTTCCCTTTTCGGGGAGTGAGTGTGCGCGCGGGGCTGCGTTGCGTCCACCGCCGAGCAACCAGTCCACCACGCCGGAAAGTCAAGCCTTCGTCGTCCGTCGGACCGAAGACGTCGGTGAGTCTTCGGACTTCTTTTGAACCACGGTTGAACTTTCCCCTGGACTTTGGGTTCACCCGTGGAGCTTTTCCTTCCTCGGAACTTTCGTTTTCTATGCGTAGGCGAACGTTGTTCCCGGCTGCATTTGTGCCGCGAGCGGCGAGTTGTTTCGCGTTGTGTCGGGAATCCACGTTTTGCGAAAATACGGAGTGCGCATGCGCGGTATCTCTGCGCGCCGGACGCCCGGGTTCGAGGGTATGTTGGGAGAGACGACAAGCTAGCAAAGCGTGAGACCATAGCAAGACTACGCGACTACGCTACGATTTCGCTGTCGCGTTCCGCGGGATGCCGACGAGCTGCGTGGCCTTTGGCTGCCGGAGTTGGCACCGGCCAGGAGACAAGAAAAGCTATTTTCGATTCCCTTCGAAGAAACTGTTCCCTCATCGAAGAGCGGCCTGGATCCGAGCAGTGAAGCGAGTGCTCCCGTCAGACCCAAACAAGGCTTGGGAGCCAAGTAAGGAGTCGCGAATATGCGAGGATCACTTCGTAACAGGTAAGTCACCTTCATCGTACTTTCGAGAAGCACCGGAAATGTAACACTTCCACTTTATAAAACAGGGGAACCATCACTGGACAACAGCCACCCTGACTACGTGCCGACTGTATTCACTTACGTGAAGAACCGGCCGTCGGTCCTCGGCCGCTACGAACGGTGGAAACATCGTTTGTCGACGGGGGGTACGTACTACGTCGTGTTTAGTAATCTCGTGCTGCTTCTTCAGCATGCTCGCACGATTTGACTTGTTGACCGGGCTACGGGTACTGGTTTCGTAACATCCGCTGTTGATGGGGACGGCGTTGGTAGCTGCCAGCGTCCGCGCCGGCGGCAGTGCATACATCGTGAGCTCAGCTTATCACCACGCTGCGCGACAACCATGTCAGATCGCCGTCAAGTTTCGAGCGTAATACAGTTGATGCGTGTGTATATGAGCCTGCTGGTGCTTCCCCAGGTTTCTTGTTTCCTATGCATTTTTTTCACTGCACTAGAGAAGTAGCTCATGCAGACCAGTTTGCCACTGCCTTCCCTCTTTTCATTGCATGATGTCTAAGCGTTATGATTAGAGAGGAAAAATTATGACACTGTGTAGAGTCGTCAGATTTATAAATGGTCATAGCTAGGTGGAGATTTTTAGTGCACGTCATAAGATTTCCAAGTAGTGGAAATTATTCTCGTCCAACGCTGAGACGTGCCAGATGCCCTACGTTTGTTTGGCATCTACAACCCCGAGATTTACATTTTGCAGGTTTCAATAATAGTATGCATTGGTTATGCAGCACCGATATTGTGTGTTGCGATTGTGACCCTGCAGCTGCTGTCAAAAAAAGGATTGTGGCCCAAATAACCGCTCCAGTTCCTGCAAGCACTCAACATGGGGCACCTCAGCCAGCAGCCGGTTCTTCTCCAGCTGCAGCCCGACCTTCCACAGCTGCAGCCAGACCTTCCACAGCTGCAGCCGGACTTTCCACAGCTGCAGCCAGACCTTCCCCAGCTGCAGCCGGACCTTCCGCAGCAGCAGCCAGACCTTCTGCGGCTGCAGCCAGACCTTCCGCGTCTGCAGCACGACCGTCTGCAGCTGCAGTCAGACCTTCTGCGGCTGCAGCCAGACCTTCCGCAGCTGCAGCTAGACCTTCTGCGGCTGCTGCCGGACCTTCCGCGGCTGCAACCAGACCTTGCGTAGCTGCGGCTCGACCTTCAGCTACAGCCGGGCCTTCGACAGCAGCAGCAGCTGGGCCTTCCAGAGCAGCAATCCAACTTGTGGCACAAGCAAGAGCATCCCTGGTCGTTGATCCCCTTACAGGAGAGACCAGCATCCCGGAACATTGTCCGCCCCTCCTGGACAATGGGCATGGAGCCCAGACAAGCACTCCATGTGTCCAGCAAACCATCGAAGGTGCTCATGCTTGCTGTTACTTGTGCAGCAGGCAGCTGTCACAGTTCATGTCGCTAAATCATTCGGCATAACTGGTAATATACATACCTGCATGGTTTGTAGTTTTGAACGAAGGAACCTGCTTTATGGTGTCTAAACAGCATACAAATGGGCTGTTACGCAAGGTAGACAACCTTTTCAGAACTTTCATCATAAGCAGTTAGAGTAAAGCTGAGCAAAATGGTGCGCAAGTTTTATTCAATCTACTACTTCACTATTTTATTTATCTACATGCATTTATCGTTCCGACATTTGGATGGGTATAATAAAATATTGCTGGCAAGCAGAAAATGGCCAGTAATTGGAGCCAAAATTCCTCTGTGCTTGAGTGCAAGGGGCTTATTTCAGAAATCTGCAGGAATAGCACATATATAATTATTCAGCATAAGAAATAGAGACAAAAACTGTATAATTATGAATTCATTTATGCATACTTCTATTTTACAGAGATCGAGCACGAGGACAATCTTGGTCAGTCCGTGATGTCTGGGACGCATGACGGGTGCAGACTCAAGATTGCACAGATGCAGCAGCGGATCTTGAGTTTGGAAGCTGACAACATGCGCCTCCAAGTGGAGCTACAGCACCACGAGACACGGCGGCTATCGGTTGATTTCATCAGACATGACCCCAAGCAGTGCATTTATTACACTGGGCTGCCCGAGTTTGCTGTATTTGAAGCAGTATACGATTTTTTTGCACCTCGGGCATCCCAGATGCAATACTGGTCGAGCGGTCGAAAGAGTAGCGGGATGAAAGGCCGCCCCCGGGAGTTGGAGCTCATTGAGGAATTCTTCATGGTACTTACTAGGCTGAGAACGGGAATGGCTGGCAGGGAAATGGCCCGCAATTTTGGAGTACATGAAGCGACGGTGAGCAGGCTGTTTACAACCTGGATAAACTTCCTGCAGCGAGAGTTGAGTACACTGACACGGCTTCCATCTCTGCACGAAATTCAGATGTATCTGCCTCATGCCTTTCGCTACTTCGTAAACACAAGAATAGTTCTCGACGGAACGGAGGTGCGCATCCAGAGGCCCTCTTTCCTGGCTGCCCAGAGGCATACTTTTTCACCTTATAAGCATTTTAATACTTATAAGGCGGTCATTGGCTGTACCGCTGATGGCTACGTTTCATATGTTTCCAAGTTATGGGGAGGGTCAGTTTCAGACAGGCTGATTGTAGAGGAGAGTGGGTTGTTAGGGCTATTGGAGTCAGGTGACGCCATTATGGTGGATAAGGGTTTCAAGCTTAATAACATACCAGCAGGGGTTCAGGTGCACATCCCTGCTTTCAGAAAGCCGCAAGAGCCGCAAATGCCAGAGGAGGACGTTGCACACTCCCGCCGGGTGGCTAGTGCCAGAGTAATTGTTGAGCGTGTGATTGGGAGGGTAAAACAGTTTCACATTTTGGATCGTCCGTTCTCCATCACAATGATCGGCATTGCTAACCAGGTCTTTCAAGTTTGTTGTTTCTTAAGCAATTTCCGGGAGCCACTGACTAGGGATGACTAGTGTCACAGTCAAAACATGTAAACTTCCCTGTGTAAATACTTTAAGGCAATGAAAAATTTTGCGAAAAAAACAAATCACTTGCACGACTTATTTAGCATGCACGCTGAATGATGCATGTTAAATGGATGCGAAACAAGATTTTGGATCTCGTAAAACAAGCCAGGTGCAATAGGCGGGACATTACAAACCCCCATAACATAACTCGTACCGCAATATTTCGAACGGATGGCCGTATTTTTAGGAAAGAAGGGAGCGATTGAACGACAAAGGCAGGCAAGGCCTGTCATGTTCAGATCCTCATTCCCCCTCCCCTTTGCCCCCTCGAGGAGGTAAACCGAACCGAGGAGCAGAGAAGGACGTCCGTTTTCTCTTGTTCTCAACCGTTCCCAGAGAATGGCTACGTCGCATTCTTTGCTCAGTCCTGCCCTTTTTGTCCAAAAACACGGCCATCGGTTCGAGATATTGCTGTACGAGTGATGTTTTGGCGTTCGTAGCGTCCTGTGAACACTTCTGCGGCCTTATTTTGTGAAATCCGAATTTTGGTTCAGCATTCCTTGAAAGACCCTGTGTTAGTAGTCATTGTGCAATCACTAAATTGTTCCTCTATGATGTGGACCAGTGTCACCACGGCAAAGCCAGTCCGACCACTCTCTAAACATTAATCTACGACTACCGTACTTCGAGTTTTTCACAACTTTGCACCAGGCCCATCCGGTATGATGTATTTATCTTTTTTTAATCATGTTATGAGGTAATCAATTGGCTGCTTACATTATAACTTCATCACTCTGTCCAACCACGTTAGACCTATTGTTTGTGGCACTTTCCCGATTTTAGCAATCATATTTACTAGAACATACATAATTTCTGAATGTAGGTCGACCCTTGTATTAAAGAAAAAGAAATATCTGAGGCGAAATACAAACTAATTAAATATAAACGGACAGTCTGGCCACATCAAGCTTCCTACCACTGCTCTGCGCACACATAAAGCTTCACCGCTTTGCATCTGTGTGCTTGGTAGAAGTAGCCGACTCGCGTGGCATACCTCAAACAGCTTTATCCTCTCCGAAATTTTGCTCACTATTACAGGTCTCTCATTGTTGCAAATATATTTCTCATTAACACGTGATTGTTGATTATATGTAAGCCTGAAGTTATCTGGAGATGTGTGCTTTGTTGGAATAGGTTACTGATGGCCAGAGTTGGAAGTTCCCTAGACTTGGACACCTTGGCTTTGAGCAGGCACGTGCGATTTTTTGTTGTATAAACAGTTGAAAGAAATGTAAATATGTTTGATAGCCTGTTCCAACTAACCTTGTATACCTGTTTGCCAGCACATTAGGGGCTGTTGATTTCAATAAAATACGAGCGCTAGCTTCGAGACCTGGTTTTCTTTTATTGCGTATTCATCAAGACATGGCAGATTCCTGTCGGGACGAGGTTGGCGTAAACAAAGCGTTTAATTCGAGTTAACGATACGTTACATGGTTACATGAGCCCGCACGTCAAGTCTCCGTGCGCCCGTCGTGTTGGCGTTCTCCGACCCAGACTCTCGCACTCAGCCCTCTCGCTGGCTTCTTTGTCGTCTGGCTTGTGGCACCCTCTTCGTGCTGTGGCTCTCACGACACCCCCCTTTCTTTGAAGACTCCCAGCACCTACAGGTTGAGGCGGCTTGGAGGTCTTGATTTTCGTCCACCTCTCGTGACGGTTATTCCAGGCTGCCAAGGTTGCAGATGTCTGCTCGTGCAATCAGTGATGCCATTGGCTGTGTTCACCGCATATGACCTAGGAGACTGCGTTGATTGCAGCACTGTCCCACTTGTGGCTGCTCCTGACAGAATTTGCACAGCTGTATGTGGAGGTATATGGTCTCGTTCTTTGACCCTATGACGGGCATCGTAATGTGCACTCAGCTTGGCTTTGTATGCACGATCCTTTTTCCGAAAGGGCTCGCTGTTCCACCGAGGCTGGAACGCTTTGGACACAGCTGGAACATTTGTCCGTATCTTTCTTCCCATCATGAGTTCCGCATGGGAATATCCTTCAGTTGCAGGGGTATCCCGATGAGCAAGCAGCGCCTTGTGGATGTTCGGCGACTTTTTAAGCAGCTGCTTCGCCGTCTGTATGGTCCTTTCCACCGCCCCATTGCTCTGAGGATAATATGGGCTACTTGTTACATGGCGTGATCCCCACTCCTTCGCAAACCTTTCGAATTCGGCAGAAGCGAATTGGGGCCCATTGTCTGATCGAATGATGGCGGGTGCTCCAAAATGGGCAAACATCTCGCTCAGTTCCCGTGTGATCTCTTGGGTTGTTGTCTTTCTTAATTTCTCAAGTTCAAAGAACCTCGAGAAATAATCTACCACTACAAGGTAGTTCTCGCCACTTTCGTTAAAGAGGTCCGCGCCTACAACTTCCCATGGGTGATTCGGGAGTGGAGTGTGTAGCAGGGGCTCTGCGCCAGGCTTTCGGTGTGTCTGACACACTGGACATCTTGAAACATAGTCTTCAACACTCCTGCTGATGCCAGGCCACCAAACTGATTGATTGGCCCGAGCTCTGCAACGACCTACGCCCTGATGACCCGTGTGCAGGCTTTCCAGCACCTCGTCCTGCATGCTTGGCGGGATGACGATGCGACTTCCTTTGAGGAGAAGTTCTTCAACTACCGTGAGCTCTTGGGACACACTGGCATATTTCTGTACTGCTAGTGGCAGTGACACGCCCTTGGGCCACGTCGTTGAACAATAGTTCCCAACAGTCACGATAGTTGGATCTCGCTTTTGTTCTTCTTTGATCCTGTCCAGCATGTTGGTGGAGGCCGGTAGGAGTTCTACGCTGAGTCGCTCGTATTCTGTCAAAGCTACTTCGAGACTTCTTGGACTGCTGCTGTCCGTTGTTGCTTGTGGCTTCCGTGAGAGTACGTCAGCTGTATGGATCTCCTTGCGGGAATATGGGAGATTGTGTAGTCAAATTCCAGCAGTCTCATTCGCAGACGCTGCAATCATGGACTCGGCTCGTCTATGCGCTTTGATGACAACAGAGGCATGAGCGGCTTATGGTCGGTCTCTATGTGGAATTGCAGACCGAGCAAGTACTGGCGGAAATGCTCGCATGCCCATGCGATTCCCAGCGTCTCCTTTTCTATCTGGGCGTAGCGTTGTTCAGTTTCTGTGAGTGACTGTGATGCGTCGGCAACAGGGAGTCGTTTTCCGGACATCTCCTGAAGGAGGACAGCCCCAAGGCCGTACAAGGATGCATCCGCTGAGACTGTGAGATGACTTCGAGGATCGTAGTGTACCGGTGTGGTCGTCAGTGCTTCTTTGACGGAGTCGAAACTTTTTTGTTGAGGCTCTCCCCAGCACCAATCAGCGTCATGGTGAAGCAAATCGCAAAGCGGTTTCGTGAGTTGAGAGAGTCCAGGGAGAAATTTAGCCAGGTGGTTTGCCATACCCAGGAACGACCTGACCTCCGATACATCTCCTGGCGGTGTCAGTTGAGCGAGAGCCTTGATCTTTACTGGATCCACACTGACCCCGTTGGCCGAGAAGACATGTCCGAGGAATTCTGCAGACTGTTTGCGAAGAACGCATTTGTCCTTGTTGAGAGTTATGCCCGCATCTTGCAGGCGCTTGAGTACCTGATGCAAGTGTGAGTCACGTTCTCCTCTCGTTCTTCCAAACACGATGATGACGTCTTGAAGGCAAGCTTGACCTTCGAGACCTTCGAGTACTCTTAGCATCTCACGCTGGAAGAACTCGGGTGCAGTGGAGATACCGAATGGTAGTCGGAGGAACTGAAATCTACCACATGGCGTCAAGAAGGTTGTATACTCCCGTGATTCTGCTGCCAGTGGGGCTTGCCAGTAGCCCGCTCTGGCGTCGAGTTTGCTGAACCAGGTTGCTCCAGCCAGTTTTCCAAGGCATTCGTCGACAGTTGGCATTAAGACTCATTCCCTCAGGATGCAGCTGTTCAGGCCACTGTAATTGACACAGATGCGTAGTTTTCCGTTTTTCTTTCTGGCCACAACCATCGGTGCACACCACTCAGTTGCGTGGTCTACCTTTGCGATGACTCCGAGGCTCGCCATCCGCTCCAGCTCCTGCTTGACACTTGGAAGAGGGACGCGCCTCGGGTACGTTACCGCATACGGTTTGGCGTTGGGGAGCAGAGCTACCTTGTACTCGGTGTTTAGTAGTCCGAGACCCGCAGTCAGCTTGGGGTAGTCACTGAAGATGTCTGCTGTGTCGTCTTCGTCTACCTCGGATCCCTCGACTACAGACAGGCTGCACAGGACTTGCAGAGACTTGATTGCTGGACGGCCAAGAAGCGCGTCGTGAAGGTTGTCCACTACGAACACCTGCTCCTGGCACGATCGTCCATTCCACCTCAGGGTCGCCTTGAACTGTCCCACGGTGGGAATCTTGGCTCGGCCGGGCCCCAGGAGTGCCTTCGTAGGTCTGCTGAGTGGTCCCATGAGTGACTTGTTGTAGACCCTGGACGGGATGGCCGTGACGTCAGCTCCCGTGTCCACCTTGAACTCTACGGGCGAGCCGTTGACGCAAGCTGTGATCCGCCATGGTTCTGATCCGAGTTGACTTGTTACTTTACCCAGGTAAACCTCTTCGAGTGCGGCGTGGCGCTGACTCTGGCTGTCTTGAGTTTTCTTCTTTGTGGACAGGCACACTGACACGAAGTGTCCTTTTTTTCCACACCCATTGCATGTCTTGTCGGCAGCAGGACACTTGGCACGCAAGTGTGGGCGCGTGGAACCACACCATCTGCAAGCTTGGTTCTGTTCTTTGTTGCGGACTGGTAGCTGCTTCTTCTTTTTGGCCCG